ATCTCGTTCTGGCTGAAGACGCTGTGCACAGAAACCTGCTTCTCCAGCCTCTCGCGAACCCAGTCAACCTTCTCGGCCACCGTCCCCCCGTTCAGCTGGATCTCCATCACGTGGGCCTTCTTCTGCCGCAGCGGGAGCAGCTTCATCTGCATTAGACAGGGCAAAACGCTGCCCCTCACCTCCCAGGCATGGACGGGAGGGCAGGGCCGCATCACCCACCACTCGTGAGGGGCACAGGGGGTGAGCAGGACCGGCTCCTCACCCTGCTCCCTACCACACTGTCAGCCCTTTCCACAGCAGCCAGCGACCCGGGTCAGCATGCCTACCAATCTCTTGGACCTAACTCCGTGTCCTCGAGCCCAACCACCCCATCTCCCAGCGTTCCCATTCCAGGCAGGAGCCGATGCACACCCTCTCCACCAGGGAGCACAGGAGCAGGTCAGCCTCATCCTACCCCAAGAGCTAAGCCCAGTAGTAATGGCCGTGGTAAATGCCCCAGAGGAGCCCATCACCAGAGCACCCTCTGAGGCTGAACGCTGCGACCAGCCAGGACGCAGCTCCGTGCTCCAAGCCAGAGTCAACGCCTCTCCTTTGGTCACGCTCCACCTCTGCTTACAGACTAAGCAGCTATTTCTAGTTCCTACCAAGAGGCGCCTCCGCTCTCTCCCAGCGCCAGCTCCCTCCGCAAAGCCCCTGCCAAATCGCCGCAGTCGGGACTTTGAGGGTCTGTGCCAGCCGCAAGCGAAGCCTTGAGCCAGCTTAACTCTGCCCCAGGCTCCAAAGCAGCCATTAACTCCAGGGATCAGCATGAAAACGGACCCCGTGTATCCCACAATCAGCATCTGGCAAAACCGTGCCTGCCCGTGGGTTATTTTTGCCCCAAACATTTGACACCAGTTGCTAATTTGAGGGGATCACGGGGCCTCAGGTCCCTTGCTGACACAGGGCTCACCGCCTGCCGAGGCTCTGCGCAACGTCTGCTCTCCTCCGCGGGTGTGTGGGCTCCCCAGTGCGCCCGAGCCCCAGCCCCCCTGTGGCAATCCCCCAGCAGGGAGCTCTGCTGAGCCCGGCTCAAAGGGGCAGGGCTGGTGTCAGGGCACAGCGGGGAAAGTCTGCCGACACCTCCCATCGCCTGCGTGCCCCGTCCCGCTCCCTCTGACCAGCGTCTGTCTGCTCAGCCTCCTGTGACCCCACCAAGACACCCCCGTGGATCCCAGCTCCCAGGCCCTCACCACGCTCCCACGCTGAGGAAGACCCCGAGCCCCCCTTGCCCACCTCCAAACCCCCCCCGGGGTGAGGCTCTGACCTGGGTGTGCACAATGACACGAATGACCTTGCAGTACTTTTTCATCGCCGCAAAATCCTTCTCCAGCTGCCTTTTGCCATCCTTATCCTGCCATTTTTTGCAGTACTTGGTGAACGCCTTCTTCTTGCTCTTGTGCCTACGACAAACGTGTTTGTTTGACATCCAGCAGAGCCGAGGGGTGCCGTGCTCCTGCTGTGCCCTCAGGCAGCGCGGCGTGGGGGGACAGATCACCCCGCCAGGCGCTTCCCCGGAGGCACAAGGTACCTGCGGATCCCTGAACCTCGCCTGACTGTCGGGGCCGTGACACGGGGCTTTGAGGTGGGAAGAGGGAAGTGAATAACGAGCTGTGGAAAAGGGCTGGTAATTCAAACCCGTTTGCTTGAGCCACCCAGTTGTCTCCCACTGACTGGCTCGGTGCCATCAAAATACAAACGCAAAAATCAGAAGTGAGTGGAGAAAGGAGAAAACAGGCTCCGGCAGGGATCAGAGGCATGTGGTGGGTGGATCTCAACGGCAGCTCTTGCAGGAGACACGATTCCTGCGGCTATGAAATTCATGTTTCCATTTTCCTCTCCGCTGGTGCGGGATTTGGGGCGTCGATGTTTAGAGGGGCCAGGGGTCACACTCTGCATCACTTTTTCCCCTGACAAATCTGGTTTTACTCTCTGCACTTGGTGCCCCAGCCCAAATATTACAATTTAACGGAGAGTAGATGGGCCCGACCTACACGAAGGAAAACGAACCTGCAGCACGCACTGCCATACGATCTTGTGGAGAGAGCTAACTTACTTCAGCCATTAGAATAAATTTACATATGCATATGCTGATTCCCAGCATCAAGCTGTTGGCAGCTATCTCTGTGCATGACTCAATAAATGGCAGCCTCACTCCACCCCAGAGCGCGGCGGAGCTGTTTGCCACGGCGAGGCTGCGGGGAAGCCCTCGAGGGTCTCCCCCCTTGCAGCGCCCCAGGGACCCTCCCCAGCGGCGGAGGCACTCACCAGTTCTTGTAGAAGCGCCGCCGGCACTCGTCGCTGATGTGCTCAGCAAAAACAGTCTTGAAATTCCTCAAGCCCTTGGGTGTTTCTACGTACCCCACGACCCCCACCACCACCACCGGGGGTGTCTCAACGATGGTCACGGCCTCCACCTCCTCCCTCTTGGAGACCTCTGCAAGAGAGCAAAGGGAACTGGTGCTCAGCATCGTCTGGGGTCGGATTCTTCCCCGGAGCCATCCACCGCCCGTGCCCTTACAGCGAGCGAGCAGCGTGCTGGGGGCAAGGTCACACTCTGCTCCTCTCACAGCCGGGCTCAGCCCTTCCATCTCCCACCCGCTGGAGGACCAGGCAGGGTGGGATCCCCAGACACTGAACAGGTTAGACCCTGCGGCCCAGCACACCTGAACCCGTCGTCCCCAGGCTCGGGGGAGCAGGACATTGGATGGTTCTTGCCCTGGAGTTTGGCTCCAAGCCTGTGGGCATCCCAGCGGAGAACATCATAAACTTGCCCAGCAAGCTGTCCCAAGCCCAGGGTTTATCAGGTAGTTCCCCTGCAGGGTCCTTCCGCCAGCAGGATCCAACAAACCACCAGTCACCATACCAGTGTGAGGACTTCCCAGGAACCCCCAGACTCAGCTCACGCTGGCCGTGAGGTGGCCCTTGGCCATCCAAGATCTGGATGGCACTACAGGAGGTAGCCTGGAAGCTTTGTGCTCCACCACCCATTCCCAGGAGCAGCCTTTCCCACCAACAAGACTGTTCCCTTGTTTCCCTCCTGGATGTGGCTCCCCAGCTTCCATCAGCCAAGCCTTACTGAGCCCAGGCCGGTGCACCTCCCGCACGGTGTGCGTCATGCCGGCTTTGTAGCCCAGGAAAGCTGTCAGGTGGACTGGTTTGCTGGGATCATCCTTAGGCCATGTCTTCACCTTCCCCCGGTGGCGACGGCTTCTCTTGTGGGGGAGGAAGCCCAGGTGGCCGTGCCTGGGAGCAGAGAACTTGCGGTGGGACTGCGGAGGGGAAGAACAAAAAAGATCAGCTTCACTTTCAGGTCCTAGAAGATGCTGGAGCACAAAGCACAACTGGAAATCTTCCCCTTTAACATCAAGCGAATGCTGGAGGGATTCTGGGCTCTTCCTCGATTCCGACACGACAAAAAGAACGCGTAACAGGATGGGATTTTGTTCAAGCTTCCATCACGTGCGTTGAAGAATTTAGTAAGTTTCTGGACAACTGATGCTGATTAAATAAAAAAACTTCTGCTTGAGGACTTTGAAAGAGAAATACGTTCTTTAATAGGTCTGCCCTTCCATGATGTTAATTATAATGACTTGTTTTGTATTCTGCAGCACCAAAAGGGGCTGCTCAGAATTCCTGGGCTTCATGTCATCAAGGCAAACGGCACCCAGCAGGCACAGCTAACCATCAGAAGAAACGGGAAAGGATGCCCCAAGGAATTGGTAATAAGAACACGAGCAGGTTAAATACGCACCTTGAAAACCAAATTAGAAGAGCTAAATATATAAACCCCAATCGCAAGGTCATGCTGAGCCAGGCGAGAGAAAGCAACAGCGCTTTAGAGACAGGGACAAGTTCTCACACGATTGGCTTCAAGGCAGGGGAACTGGGGGGCAGCCCAAGCAGCGAAGGGTTAGATCTACACCCACTGCAACTCCCTCCTTGCTAAGATCAGTCTGGTTGCACTTTCCACCAAGCTTATTTTCCAGCCCAAGTGGAGTTACAATGAGCTTGACGGCATTTCAGCTGTACTACCATCGCCGGTAACCCAGTCCTGCTCGCTGTCCCTCTTGCACACAACGGAAAGGCAGCAGTGCCGAGCTTTACGAACCATGGGACGTCTTCAGCCCAGGTCAGCCGCAGAGAGAGGCTGTCGGTAAGTGCCTCCCCCGTCTAGTACTTAAGATGGTTCTCGGTCTGAAGACACAAATTTAGCTCCTAGCTTCACCCGCGGCTATATTCATTCCGTACTGGGCCAAGCTGGCAGGTTTGCGGGGTGATAAAGGTCAATGGCCGGTGTCTCAGTTTACACCTCTCCCTCCTGAACAACTCGAAGGCGAATGGCAGCAGTTAGAGCTGCCTGACGGGGCCCCCCGCTGCCCAGGGCCCCCGAGCTCTGGGTAGAGACAGGCCAAAAATCCTTCCATCAGCTCAGGCGAGAAAGACTTTGCGATTCTGACCGGGAAAGAGACGGAGGCGATAGCTCTGGTTGTGAGGGCGGGCGCTGCTGCTCCTCCGGGCCGGGGCCTGAGGCCGTTTGGGCGGACGACAGGGGCAGGGCCCAGCCCCGGGAGGGGGCAGACGGACTACATCTCCCAGCATGCATCGGGCACAGAGGAGCATGCGCAGCGCGGCGCCCTCTGAGCCCGCCGTCCCCCCGCCGCCGGGGTTGTGTGGGGAGCCGCCA